GTGTAAGTGCAAGAATATCTATGTCAGAGCCTCTTCCAGCAAAATGGCGCTCTAGGCAGAAGCACCACGCCGTCCCTCCACAGCAAAGATCTGAAAAACTAAGCCAAACAGAGAAGACAACAATCCTGAAACCCTAAAACATCAAATGAAGAGATAAAGAACTCAGCCAAACACCAAATGGAGTAAGAAAACTGACAGAGAACAGAGAGCGAGGAGAGATTCATGCAGAGGTCCCCTACCAGCTAACGCAGTGGGAATCCGCCATCTTGGACTCCTATCGGAGACCAGCAAACAGGGGGTACGAGAAAGCAGCTTCATGGAGCTTCCAGCGAGAGACAAAACAACCGGTAATTTGTGATATACGCTTTCCCACCCCCCACCCTTCTTCACCCCCACTCGGCCTCCTCTGCTTCCCGCAGCCACAATCTCTTGTCCGGGAAACACCGGCTGCTTGGATTCCACCCACCAAAACGGGCTGGCTCTCTGAGTGCCATTTGTTGGCCGCTGGTGTTGCTTTTTTCCGCTTCTTTTGATTTCGTCCTTACCTCTCACCACCTCCCCCTCCTTTCGCTCAAATACCTGGCTCCGTGAGCCATCTTTGCTTCTTCCTGAGGGGCTTCAGAGCTCTGGTAATTTGTGATATATGCTTTCCCATTCTCTACCCTTCTTCACCGACAATCGGCCCACTCTGCTTCCCACGGACACAGTCTCTTGTCCAAGAAACACTGGCTGCTTGCATTCCATCAGCCCGCGCTAGCTGGCTCTCTGAGTGCCATATGTTGGCTGCTGGTGTTACTTTTTTTTCTGCTTCTTGTGATACTTCCTTACCTCTAACCACCTCCCCCTCCTTTCACTCAAATCCCTGGATCCGTGCGCTGTCTTTGCTTCTTCCTGAGGGGCTGTGGAGCTCCATTCGAGTGTGGAGCTGCTTCCCGGTCTGGGCTGCCATGCTGGTGGGATCCCAGGGCTTTTGTTTGATTGTTTGTTTTGAGTTGTTTGTTTTCTTTTCCTTTTCTTGAGTTGGGAGCCCTATCTGGCCAGACGGTGCTGCGTGGCAAGGGGACTGCCCCGTCGACTTGCACAGATGTGCACAGTGTTCCCTGAGGACATTTATTTTTTCGTTGGTTTTCTTCTCTTTTTTTTCTGTTTTTTGGGGACGTTTCTTGTTCTTTTTTTTTAAATTTGTTTGGTTTTCTTTTCCCTTTTTATCTTTCGTCATTACTCAGTTTCTCATCTCTCTATATCTTACTTCTCTTTCTCTTCCATGAATAACTGGTGTTGTATACCTCTAAACCTTCTAGCCAGGCTATACTGCAACACCTGAGAGCGACTTCCCCAGACCTCATAGCTGCACCGGTGGCATTCCTGGGAACTTTGCGGTTCTTAAACCTTTCCGATTTTTATTTATCCATTCTATTCTTCCTCTTCCCCTTTCTGTTTTTGTCCATTTCATAGTCTCTCATCTCTCCACTTCAAAGGCAAGCTCCCCTAGCATTCTTTCTTCTTTGTATGTTTTTGGCTCGTGTTCCTCTCTCCTCTCTACAATATCCATCTTAGCTCCACACATGACAATCTCCCCGCTACATCCTGCCTACCTGCACCGTGTGCTTAACATCACACCACCAAGCAGTACAGGCACGGCCTATTGGAACCTGCCCTGCACTGATTGCCGACCCGCCCTGGTGGCTGTAGTAAGTGCCACAAACAACCCGTCGCAGTAACTCCTCTTCAGCTAGACCTGCCCTGCCGTATCATATCTGAGTGACTGACCCTACCAGTTGGAGGAGGCGAAAAGTATTGTGACCACAGACGAGCAAACAACAAAGAGCACACAGTCTGCCTGCTCAGACATAGTCAAATTTTTTTAAAAAAGGGATCAAACAAATCTACAATCGATAACTGAGAAAAAGAACTACTGAATGCCCCAAAGACAGCAGACAGTATCAAAACATTTACAAAAACAGGACAGGATGGTTCCGTAGACGTCCAAAATAAAACACCAGATGACTTTCCAGTGGAAGAAAAAGCACTAGAACTACCTGATAAGGAATTCAAATCTTTAATACTCAGAATTCTCCAAGAGCTGAGGCAAAAAGCTGACAAACATGAGGAATAAATAGACAAATTCATGGAAAATATAGACAAAAAATTGGAAGAATTCAGGAAAATAATGCAGGAACAAAATGCCAAAATAAATTCACAACTAGAAATTATACAA